TTGCACTATTACCACTTATCAATAAGCTTAGGGCAATATTTCTCATGAATCGTTTGGGGTTGGAGCAAAAGAGATTCACCAAATTAAGCAATGAATATATTAAGTCGTTTAATGAAGAAGCAAAAACTGGTATTTTTTCTAATACTATTCCAAATAAATATATCAAGTATGTTAATAATTTACTTTTCTTAAAAAAGAAAAATAACTAGTTTAAATAATTCTATGATAGAGAGATAATTAATTTTATAATTTTATGATAAAAAAAAATAAAATAGTACGTTGAATGAAATGCAGAAAAGTGCAACAAATTTATTCAAGTTGATTACTAATTTGTGGGATGAAGGCAAAGATTTTCATGTTAGTAATAGAGTAAATAATGGAGTAAATCCGTTAAACTTAACAATGCCAATTGAGAAAGCATCAGAATTCGCTAGAATGTTTGTTAGTGATTGGAGAAATATTAACAACATCGATTTTGTTAGTTTGTCGTGAGTTTTATTTAAGTGCAAATTAATATTATAATTTTTCAAATGATATTAGCTTTTAAAAAATTATTATGTATAAAAATAATTAATATAATTAATATATATCTGAATAACTATGTAAATACTATTATTATACGATAAATTATATCATTGTAGTAATTATACTCTTGTTACAACGAAGTGGCTGGACATATAAGAAAATTTCATTCAAAATTCGTTGAAACTAGTGATGAATGGGCGATTAATAACCCCAAGTTATTAACCCTAGTTTTAAGTTATTAACTTAAAACTGATCAGAAAGGTTTTTTACGCCTCTTCACTAGTTGAAACAAAATTACTAATCGCGTTTCAACAAATTTATATGCTTTTATAATGTGGTAACAAGGATTTAATTATTATTATAATACATTAAAACAAGATTTCACTGTAAATAATAATAATAATAATGGATGGAGAACAATCGAATTGATGATTTAGATCATTGTATATATACAAAGTTTTTGGCAAATACACAAAGTTTTTATTGGTTACGACTTTTCATAGTTTCTGGTAAATTTACAACCGATTTCTTTTTGTTTAGAAAGACGTAAGGGACAATCCTTTCTTCAAAATGCTTTTGATGGTTCCGTAATTTTTAGGTTCCACAGTAGATGCAAAAATTAACGCAGTCGAACCTCGTTATAACAGCTCCCGTTGTAATGGATTTAGTACTAGTCACGTTATAACGGATTTGATATGTTCGTTATTATTATAATACTAACACTAATACTAAATACGTTTAATTAGTATTAGGTTGTGACGAGGTTCGATTGTATAAATAATTTTATATAGAAATATCGTTTAAGAATGTGAGAAACAAGAATAGAGAGAAAATTATGTATAATAAACAACATTCTGAAAGAAAATAAAATAATTAAACCGGAAAAAAAGAGTTTTCAGAATTAAGAATGATGGCAAAGCCTTGCTTAAATTCTGCTCAATTAAACCAAAACATTAATCATCACATGTATCAAAAAGGTTGCTTCTCTGAAAACTGGAAGGAGGGTAAAGGTGTTTTATAAATAATTAATTGAAATAGATGAATGGGTGACAATGAAAAAGTAAAACAATTATACAATATCATGTATCAAACTATAAAGCAACAGTAATCAAATTAGAGAACAAGAAGAATAAAATCAAAACCTTCAAACAAAATTAGCCCAGTTTGAGATATACGTAAAAGGCTACGTTAGGAAAAGAACAAAGAACAAAGAACACAGCGAGCAAATTAAAGTGAAAACTCAAAAACTTTTTCTTTTTTCAATCAGTTAAAACAAAATAGACATTGTGGCGCGAAAACGTAGAATTAACCTGAGTCAGCACAATACAAACAGGATATAAATCATTATCAAAATTTAGCAAGGATGAACACTTGGAAAGAATCCTGAAATGAGAAGAGCTAAATGAAGAGGTAAAAGATGAACTCTTTTACCAACAAATACAGGGAACAAGGAATTCCAAATGTATACAATAAAAGCGAAAACCTGAAATAACAGCAAATAGAGTTAAGCCAAATAATAAGTCATGAGGTTTGCCTTTTTGGATTGATTACTCTGATAAAACAAAGATCAACAAATCCCCAACACGCTATTGAATTTTAAATTCATGCAGTGTTGGTTGGTAAGCATCATCATAATTTATGTCATCGCCATATCAATTCTATCTTCAATATATTATCATAATAAAAAAAGTTAATTCTGAAATTTCAAAAGATTTAAGAATAATGATTTAACAAAAAAGTCAAAAGTTTTAATATGAATATTAATTGAATTATAAATTACAAGTATCTCTATCCCGATTCTATTTAATTATTTATATCTATAATAAAAGAATCAAATTAATAATATAATATATAATTAACACAAATAATGAGTATATATAATAATCAATTATAAATACATAACCAGTATCTATTAATGACATCCTTCCTGTGTAATTAATATAACAAAGAAATATAATAAAAATGTAATAAAAATAAAAATAAAAAGTCAAACTATTCATTATTTAAAATTTCTTTAAATATTTGAATACTTCACTAGTTTACAAGTTTACTTGCAAGATGTGAAATTACTATTGTCACACAAAGACAAAAAAAACTTTGAGACCTTGATTCTTTTCCGCTCTTTTATTAACCTTACTTGAAAATTTTTTACAAAATAAAGAACATGAAAAATAAACAACGTGGAAATTTTGGTGACAATTGATACAAAACAAGGGTATAAAATAAGGGACTGAAGACATTCAATTCGAGTTTTTATTAGTAAAATTTCAATGTCGATCAGCCAAAATTTCTGGCAAAACGACAATGACCCTTAAATTTTAGGATTTGCACATTGACTATTAATAAAATTGATCTTCAAAATTTTTTTTTTTTTCAAAAATAATCAACTTTTTTTTATTTTTTATTTAAGTTCTGGAAAATCTAGAAATATGAAACTTTATGCCACAAGTTGATATAATTTTTTTGTGCAATTATTATGTACGTTTTTGCGTAAATGATGTATTTAGGGTGACCGAAACTTTTGCTAAGGTACTGTATTATGTTGATTTTGAAGAAAATTGCAAATAACATTGTTTTTTTAACTGACCTTTTAAAATTCGGATATTAAGCATGCAGTAAATAAATTAAAATAAAATTGATATAAATTGTAATGATCCCAACTTCATTTGAATTTTTCAAAGTTATATGAACGAACGTTATAATCCCATTTTATGAATATCATGTTTAAAAAAAATCATGCCAATATTGAATATGTTCTTTAGCATAAAACACCAACTATTCCGTCTAGTTTGGTTTGGTGGAAGGGTTTTTCGAGGAGAATTAATCCCATTCATCTTAAGATGATTTAAATGCCATCTTTTACGAGTGATGATTTAACGAATGAACTTCTAGTTCATCGATCATTATTGACCAATCACAAAGAAATTTCGTGCTAGAAATTAAAGCTTAACCGGTCCTGGAACTGGAAGTCCTATTACTATTTTGTGACTTAAACCTGAGAATTAAAGCCCTGAAAAGTCCTAAGTTTTTTTTTTATATAGAGTGTTTGTAATATTGCGAGATAGCTTTTCGGTTATTTTACGTTTTATGGCCAATTTCGAGTCAACGTTTTAGTTACACTCGTTGATTAATTTGCAAGCTTTGATATACAATGCTTATCTATAAGTTATTTTGCGAATTTGTCCTGCCTATTTCCTCTTACTTGTACCTAGAAAGGTTTGGTGAATCTGTAAGTACAATTTATAGTACGAATTACGATAAATAATCCAATAAACTACTGATGTCAATTCCTTTATTTGACATTGTACTTTCTATTGATTGCCTTCATCTTCATCAACAACGATTGAAATGAGGCTGGTAATTCTAGTTTAACCCACTAGTTTTACTTTGGCATCATTCATTTGGTGAGCTTGAGCTAAAGTGGTAAATAAATTATTTCATTGATTCACTTAATTTATTCTCTCCGTCCAAACTTTCCTCAATCCTGCACAAATGTTATGAATCTCTTTGAAAATCTGGAAGTGAATTAATGTTGGTTTCCAAAACTATAAAGCTTCGTGACTGTATGAAAGTCGAGTCTAATTTTGACTTTTGGCTTTTAGTTTAATTTTGACATGTAACTTTTAATTTTAGTTTTGACTTTCGCCTCTTCAAAATAGTTTTGGCGACCATCGCATTTAAAAATCCATTAAAACATGAATTTAATAATTTATTGTAAACATTGATATAAATAAAATAAATTTTCTTTTCCATTTTCTTATTATATTGTTATTATTGCAACAATAATGCGAAACTGTTGCCAGTGCTGGTTACACTTTCTAACGGTCTCTGCTTGATTATTTCAAGTTACATACAGAAAAACTTGATTACAGTCTAATATCTTTTTTAAAAAAAAAAGTTATATATATATATGGTATGTTTAAGAAATTCTATAATAAATAAAAAAAAATTATTAAATTTCGAGCTGAGTATAATAAATCCAGCTCAGCTCATTTAAAGCTTTAATTTGGAGACACTTTTTTTTTTCCAACAAACTGGATTATAGCACCTGCTAATACACATGTTTCTTTAATTTTCGGAGATCTGTCTTGATAGATCATCAATGATTAGTCTGATGTTGTTGCTCTTGTTGTTCAATCTTAAATGACAATATGATCCGTATGGTTATTTCTAAACAGTTACAATGACCGCAATTCGATTTTCATATGCTGCAATTTAAATTTTATATGCCGCAATTAATTGAGGAGCCATCTTTAGTTATAAAAATGATTTTGGTTATTGGGAACAGTATTTCTTCCCCTTTTTCTAGCTTGTACTTACAATTCTGCTCTATTGATTCCTCTGTGTTTTCTTGAAAGTTTTATTTTTTAAAAAAATCATGTGATTACTTTCCAACTCGAAATTGACCAATTATATTTGCGAATTTAAAATTTACATACAAGTTGTAATTCTTTTGTTTAGAAATGCCTTGCCTGAACAAACATCATTAACAAGTAGCAACTAAAAATCTTGAAATGAAAATAATCGACAGGAGATGATGAGGAAGGTAAAGAGTGGTCCGTGAGAGGATTTGAAAAAGTTGAAAAAAGACGGAATGAGAATGTATATCAAACTGTCAATTTGTAGGTCGTTTTTTTATACTTGAGAAAAAAAACAATTATAATGTTTTAAATAAAAAAATAAAAGATAAGATATTTTTAAAAACAGAAAGATGAACTATCAACTTGTTTGAATGGCCTAACTGACAGACTACAACAAGAAAGCGATAATTACAAATCCAAAGAAAAAAATTAGTGACAGTGATATTGTAGAAAAGGTCATTCCACTCACTATTCAATGATTATTATAAAAGCAATATTCTTTTGCAAAATGCCCTAATGGTGCTCGACAACTATTATTCAATTACGTATAAAAATCCATACTTCCTAATTTCAAGCCAAAAAGAAAGAAAGACTTTCTCATATTCT